TGTTATACATTAATGAAGCTTACAACGTGAGCTAATGTAGTTTACAATGATTATATAACCGTACGTTAGGTGTATTAGCACTGTCAACCAGTGATCTTAGAGTATTTCGGCAAATTTAACGCTTGTTTTGTGATAAATCCAAGGTCTATGATGCTGTGGTAATATTAGTAGGTACTCTGGATGGTGATTAGAATTAGTAATATGTTACAAGTTTATTAAATGCAATAATGAATCACCTATTGGTAAACTTATTGGTATAAAAAAAATAAAACAGTGACAGTGAAAGGTAATTATAGAATTTCTGTTTTCAATTGCTAAAGTCAAAAATGGTTTGGGCCAGACTGTATCGTAATGGAAATCTAAATTATGCTATCTAAAGCGTGCTGAAATTGTGCTAACTAAATTATTCCTCCTTGCATATCAGATACTAGTCGCCATTCATGTATGAAATAACACGAGAAGTGTGAACTTTTTAAATGGTTTCATATTCGAACGAGTGACTAATAATGGCGTGAAAATAACTAATCATTCAAATAGATTAAGCGAATTGGAGTGAAGTTAATTATACAAGCGTCCGGTCTGGGGGAGGATGACCCAATTCGCGAAGACCTCAGAGCCCACCCTTTATCCGTGGCCTTGCATTCTTTGAAATTACCAGTAATAAAATTCCCACGACCCTTAGACAACAAATTTCACGGTCGAGAAACAACCATGAATTTCCCACTTAAAACACAAAAAATATTTATCTGATCTTGGGTGCACGATAAAAATCGCATCAATATTAATAAGCTGGCGGCTGTTGTTTCAAAGAAATGTATAATACAAAGGAAAAGAGAAAATAAAACAAATTCGAATGTGAAATAAAGGTGTCGAGTCACTTCCTTCTTTTCGATCGCGAATCGAACCTAGGTTCACGCGGAGATCTCAATGATCGACACGGCGATGAGCGGTAGAAATGGTCATCCAACGTGGGAATTTTACGGAAACGAGAGGAACCAACCGGGAATAGGCGTGTGTCTAACATCGATGATTAGCTGAACGAACGGAAACTCGAAGACGCGTGTAGTTCCCCGTGGCGTCTATAGGATTCCTAAAACGGAAACCACTTTATAGCGCTTCCTGTGGCTAATACAGATATCCTCCTCAGGGATGAAGCACGCCTATTTTTAGATCCGGGGCATAATACTGCACATTCATCGCCACGATGTTCACGGAACCACGTGTCTATAATTGTTATCTCTAGAGCTTTGAACGAAAAGTCGCTGCCATATGGGATTTTTAAAAAAACTAGTGGACGGAAATTCAACTAATAATAACCCCTTGGATACCTTGTTTCAAAAAAAATAATCAACACGGCTCTGTAAAATACAATCAAAGACAAAAGTTTTATCAGATGCAATGAGTTTGCTGTTTTATTTGCAACTCGAGATATTTAAGGAAGAAGTACCCACGTTTGCTCTTGTCTTTGTGAATTACATTATAGAATGTAATTTTGCATAAAAATCCACAGTCTAGTAATGACACTTGTCAATGGTACTTGTAATGGAAATTCTATTCGTTAGTTTAGTTTGCATTGAATCAACAATACGTAGATTTTACAGATTTATGTTGCTGTAGCAGCGCCGTTGGAGTACAAAGAGTTAACAGCAGGCTAATAGCATAATACACTTGACAAAAGAAAAAAGGTTTAGAAAGCGTGTTAGATGGAAAAGAATAATTGACCACAGACTTACAATTCCGTTGTAGCTTAATGTATCAATCGGTTCCATAGGCAAGAAAAACTAGGAACACTGATATACTAAAAGAATATAATAATTAGACTGCGGATTTCTATGCAAAATCAAAGTTTTTAAAGTAATTTATAAAGACAGGAGCGATCGTAGAAATTTATTTTCCCTCTTGAGTATCTTATTGGATTCAGAGTAAACTAGAAAATTCGTTGGATCTGATGAAAGTTTTGTTTTTTATTGTATTTCACAGAGTCCTTTAGGCTATAAATGCATAAAAATCGCAGTCTAATTAATAATTATGTTCATGGTTGTGACATTTCGCGTGGGTGGTTGACGAGTGAATCATTTCCGAGAAATCTTTGAACCAACAGGGTCGGTAATTATGAAAGGTGGTCGTGGTTCGCGGACCATGCCACGAGATACCGATAACAATATTATCGTCGACCTTTCGCTGCACTGGAACCGTTATAGTTACACCGTGTAACTAACACGTGCATACGGGACGACTGATTATTCTATCCAATTCATTACGTAATCGCCACGAGTCCCGTAATCGAGCGTGCGCGACATTTTTTTGTGAACGTCGCAATCGTTCGACTCGCCCTGTTTCCCCAAAAAGTGGAACGAAACTGGCGGTGAACGAAATAGAACGAACCGTTGCATTTCAACGGCGATAAGCGTATCTTCGTAATGAGCGTACGTTCCTACACGAGTGCCATAATGAGCGTCCTTCGGACTTGTTACCCGCCAATTGTTACGACGAAGAACAAAACCAACCGGTTTTCCTCCAAGACACAACGGACCCCTTGTGTTTTGCCCCATTTTTTCTCCCCTCTTGTTTATAATTGTCAGATGGTCGTGTACCTTGTTTTTTGCTTATCACGGTGTAACAGTGTTCCCTGATTGGAGCGCTATCGCTATTAATTATCTGAGATGGACACTTGCACCCTGTCTCGAGTACGGTGCAACTGTGCCACGATTTTTCCTTTCTCGTTTAACCGAATGACAATAGAGATCAGTAGAATTCGTATTTAGACCAAACATTAAAAATGATTTGAAAGTTTATTAATTTAATAAACATCTGTGATCTCTTCCTAAATTATATCTACTATTAGAGTACAATTTTGGATCATTTGTTGTCTTTAATTGAGAAATGATTGGTGTTTTGCTTTCTTGTATACTATGAATCATAAAAATAATACAACTAATTAATAGTGATCACTATTGTAATGAACAAAAAATTGCAGTTATCTGAATGAATTTAATTAACAGATTGAGTTTCAGTAATAGTAAGCAAACTTTTAATGATTCAATTTTGTAATCGTTACGTGAACTATCATAATATTTTAGGAATACTACCGAGGCAATGACGGCGCGATTACATCGAAGAAGTGTACCATGGCCAGCGAGTTTTGTGAGGGACGCTCCCTTCTTTGGCAATGTTTCGAGAGTTTCATTTTAATTCCCCGGCCGAAAGAAAGGTTTGGCCCGCAGCTGTTGCCGGTGAACTTGCCTGCAAATTCAAGGTGGGCACGGTATACATCCTCAGGTGTTCCGACAAGGGGACACTCCTATCAAAACCTTGTAAATATTGCATAAATCCTACGCTCACACTGGACTTATCTGAGTTATGTGTGCAGATCACACTCTGTGTGCACGCCACACGATTACACTTTTGCACATTTCTTTGATAAAACTGCACCATTCAAGAGTTTTCACCGTAGCAAATAATATGTCCAGGATTTATACGAAGCCATGGAAAACTATGTTTCTTCACAGGACTAAAAAGTCTTGAAAGAATTATAACAAATGAATATGTGAGTGTCTAAAAAGTCAAAATGATCATGTGCACAAAGTAAAGTAAAGAGAATTGTCTTTAGAAACATTATTTTTATAAAATTTAATCCGATGTACAGATACGAGGCGGAATTATTATCTTATCAAATTTGAAACATATAAAAATTATTGTTAGTAGTGTAGACACTGAGAAATTTATAGAGACTGACGTTGATATAATTCAGCTTCCTAAAGGCTCATGTAATAACAATTTTGTTTTGTAGAGAGACACTTCGAAAGGCTTATTTCCAGAATTGTAAATTCCGTGAAAAATTATGCGGAATGATAACGGTGTTAACTATTTCTGAAATATTTTCCGACGTTGAAATTGCGTGTAAATGGTATTTTACCAGCTTTCATGTTACACAGCGTGCATTCCAATTACTTAAGGGCTTACTCTGCGATAAGCGTCATGGAATATCTCTGATACGAGCGGCATGATCTACAGACGCTTGTCTGACACGTACGCCTAGATCCAAGTCAAACACGCGAATAATCCTAGTGTTCCCTCGATCGCAACTAAACTGTCATAATATTTACTGTCCACAAATTCCTCTCGTGAATCACTGATGGAAAAAAAAAACAAAAACAGAATGAATGAAACAGAATATAGGGAACTTGTACCGATCAATTGACGATGGGAATGAATGAAGAGAAAATGAGTTAACGTTAACATAAAAATTACTTTTCGAATTCTCATAATAAACAATACGCGAACGTTTGAAAAAGTGCACCGAGCGGTAGAATTATTTACATTATATAAGAATTGTAGAAAGTACACGGTATTTTTGAGAAAATAAGTCTTGTTAAGGGGACGATATTGAAAATGTGTTTTCGTTATAATGTCAATACGAACATCACGTTTTCTAACATAAAATTTGTTTCCTGGTAATGAATCGATTCCTTTCTAACATATATGAAAGGATGGTTAGTAATTCCTCTAAGTAATAAAAAAATTATTATTGCAAATCAGAATAAAAAAAATTCACCGAAGAATCTAAAACTCACACGAATCTCACTATATCATCCAGTATACACTTTTCATTAAAATATCAATAATAACCTCTAGTTTGTCTTCTCCGTCAACCCCTTAACAAGATTATTATCTTCAAAATTTTCACTGCAATACGCACAGAAAAAAAAAAATGTGAACTCTCGATGAACATTCTCGAATATTAATCGTAAATCCTCATTTCCATTGAATACACTGCCATCCTCCACATCGCATTGATCAGTCCGTGGAAACATCATTTCATCTGACAGGAGTTCAGGTGCAACGAACCCCATCGACTGCGCGTGCGCGTCACCCTCAGTAGGTCGACTTCCTCGGGGGGATGGTCGGTAGTGGGTCACGGTGACAAAACCAGTCCCGAACAAAGGGAGGTGGAAAAAATTCGAAAAGAAGATGAAAGAACACAGATACTGGTCCCTTACCTTTCGTTGGGCTTCCGCCGCGAAACCCGACTTGGCAGCCCTGTTTGAAGCCATCATTAGTACCTCGACCCGTTTCACCGGTAAAAACCAAAATCAAAATAAAAAAAAGGAAAATGGAGAACGTCCGGAGGGAACAAACTTTGCGATGGCTCGCCTCGAAAAAAGAATCACCCGGGTTACGATGGACACTGTTCAACGGTCGCGGCTCGACTGACGCGATCAAGACCGCGCGACGCGCTGGAGAGAGTCCTTCGGACGCTTATTGGCCGCCCGTCCGCCTGCCCGGTATCGAGTTTTCGTCTGACGCCGTGACACGTGACCTCCGTTCTCCAGTCTGGCACGAGGATGACGTCAGTCGGCGTCCAACGAATTCTTGGAGCCGCTTTCATGGCCCCGTCTCCGAAAAATTTCTGCTCGTACGGAATTTTGTTAGTTTTCAATTAATAACCTGCTGACGATTTGAATCCGAATTTAGTGTATGGGTTTTATTTTTATGATATGTGCAGTGAGCATTTGGTGTTTGGAAACTATTAGGACCACTGATAGAATAAACGATTTTCTGGTTCACTTAGCTTTCTCTGAATTCGCAATTAATTATTGACTCGAAATCGTCATTAGCTTTTCGAGAGGGGATTTGTCAAATGACTGCGAAATGGCGTGAATCTGTAGAAAAGTGACGAGGAATACTTTCAAGACTAGACTGTATTTTGGTATTTTGTAAATAAATAAAAAATCTATGAAGACAAGACCACGTATTAATTTGAACACCTAATATATTCCACTTCCATTAGTACATATAAACACTTCTTTTTCTATGTTCGACAAAAAGTTACTGTTATTTTTAAATTCTAAATGGCAAACGTGGTCAGAAGCTTTAATAATGAATCGTGAATATTGTCGGAGAAACTATTGGATACAATTCTGTATACGTACATGGGCATCGATAAACGGTGGACGGGCCTTTTTAAGGAACCGTTCTTTTTTCATAATCGTCGCTTTGTTGATTTTTCTACCATATGACCGCGGCGTTCAGTTGATTTGTGTACAACGATGACGTCAACTCCAGATGTAGACTGATGAGTTTTTTGAATGGCACTCGTTGCGTTCCAAAAGTCCCCGAAAACCCGCGATACGATAACCTTATCGCTGCATGTATTTATGGGGAAGAATGTAATTTTAGTCCATGAACGTAATCTCAAGATTTAATCTACCTCATGGAAAATTCTATCACATGAAAAATTCTTCGTGGATCATAGAATCTTCGATCGAGTCCAAGTCGTGGTAGGATCCTTCGACCATCTTTATCCTGACCGCTTTCTCGTGTCCATCTGTTGCTTTAGGACGTCGCGACCAGAACTCGTTCTGGAAACGGAACCGGCGAGATAGGTCGTCCAAAAATTTTTTGTGCGCGCGTTTCACTTGACCACCTCCCCCTCGAGTAAATTCGAAATTGCCCTAGCGTCATAAATATTTGTATACTTTCCTCGTTCCATATATATTTCCATTATAAAAACTAGAAAGCCACGCGTACACGTTTATTCAGAAAGATAAATTCAGTACAGTGTTGACATTTATGACATTTGCAACAAGAATACCCAAGGTCTTGTTAATTTACACACGCATACCGGATAATTTAGTAATCACAATATCAATTGCCAGATATTCAGTTGTTCGTTTCAGCACTTTCGTAAGAAATCTGTCATTCGTTTTAATGCCATTGTTTGAATAAGCTGACTGACATTTATGAAATTGAGACAAAGACGATAATGATAAACATTAGAAATTAAAGTCACGTCATCGTTACAGAAGAAGTCGATACAAAGAATATTGTAAGTCAGCAATAAGTTTAACATTTCTGTTGTAACCATGACATAACTTTAATGTACAATGTTTACCATTATTATTATTTTTTTCGCCAGACATGATAAATCTGTTCACGATAAATAAATCACAATGACAATGAACTCTTTCTGCTGCCGCGTAATAACTGTCTTTTCTAAATCGTGCCCGATTCACAAACTTTCCGTCGACATCCAGCGAAGGCTACTGGGAGCTCATGGCCCACATATTTTCCGCTTGAAACTGTACCCCTGGGCTCGTGCATCGGTTTATACCCGCAGCATTCTAAGGACGTTCGGTGCCCCGTGAGAAAAGCATTGCCGTAACAGAAGGAACGCGCGGAATCCGCTTAATAACGAGCTTCCTCCGCTCGAGAGGAAGCACAGGGGCTTAAGAGTACAATCTATGTAAAGCACTTTGCTACTGTTTACGTTCACGATGTAAGGCACACTTTCGATAAAGGCCCATGCGCTGAAGTCTCCCCGTTGTAAACTACATAAATCTTCGAACCGGAAACCGGAGGGGCGAGAGATTTAATTTCGATCGTACCGAACGTGCGCGAGAAAGGAAACGATCCGCTTGTTTGGGAACTGTACACCCAATTCTGTTTTTACACACATTTTCTGAAAGAATGCGTGCAAAAAAACATTCGTGTAAAAACAGAATTGGGTGTATACATACTTTTCGGGATCGTGGAGGGTAACACGATGGGGTTGGTTTTTTCTTTTCTCTGGTCGATTACGGGCGTTGAATGAAACGTCCTATAATAGAGACCGATTACGATCGGCCTTCGACGATCTTGGCGTACGCGAAAATTTCTGCTTACGTATTTTCGTATACGTGTCACGTATCGATGACTCAATCGGCTGTACTCGAAGCCCCCTGTATAATCTCTGGAAGCACGACTCGATCGCAAGAACAAACTATACGCTCGTATAACATCTTGGTGATTTCCGTCACTATATTTGAAAACTACTTACCGTACTTGACGTAATGTAGCAAACGGTCGTGGACTTTTTTTTGGATACTTTACGTAACGAAATTTAAATTTCACATTTAATCGCGAACCTGGAATGAATCAGAGAATATTACGAATGATCTTTACGTTAGAATTCCGCCATTTTTGTTCCTGGTTTCTAAAAATATCAATCGTGGCGGCTGTTTCAGCAAATATTTAAATAATACTAAATGAAACAGAGAAGAATCATAATGTTACCATTAAATACTTATTACTTCTAAGACATATCTTATATTTGATGATGTCAAAGTAGAAATAAAGGTTATCGAATTATATTCTAAATCGAATAATGGATTAACCGTGGCATACCGAGGGGAAATGGAAGAAATAAAACGGACGAACGAGAATATTCTAATATGAAATGATAAGGAATCGCCTCGAGGCTTGTATCCTTATTCGTTTCCCTCGCGAGGACACCGGTCGTCGGGCAAAAAAATTCGAGCCTCACCTGGGCGTTACGCCACTGCGTGGGACGATGCACAGTGCAGTCGAGCAATGCACCAAGGTCGAGGCCACGTATACTCGAGAGTCATCTTGCATCTTGCCCGTGTGTGTACGCACGCGTGTGCGTCCCAACACGCGTCGAACGCTATTCGCCGCACGCAAAACGTGCGGTTAAGTGCAAGGACCTCCGCTCGCGTGTTTCAGGAATGCATCTGGCCGATTTCGTGATACCGATTTTCTCTTGCCGTGCAATTTCTACAATATCGACGCGCCTGACTTCTGTTTCCTCCATTCTTGCGACGGAGGCGAAAAAGAAAAAACCTGGCGAGCAAAGACTGGTTATGCAAAGTCATCGGCGCGTTCGATTTTTCTATGGATTAATGGATTCGTGGAACAGTTAGACGAACCTTTCATGAAACAGATTCAATGTTTCAGTGGTGGCTAGACTGTGGGTGTTTTATGGTTGCGTTAGACATTTCTAGGATACAGTAAAATCACCGTTATTCATTGTTTACAGAGAGATACGATCGTGTGTGGGAATTTTTTGATAATAGTGGACTAAGTTCATTTGGCTCTGATTAGTATGTATTGTGTTTAGGATGTGAGCAGACTAGTTTTTTGATCTTGTTAAATTTACTCTGACAATGCTAACATTATTGTAACTTACTGAAAATTAAACATATAATGTTACGGATTGTTCAGACACGACGAATTTGTATTTCAGATCTCAAATTTAGTATTTTTAACAGTGTAAATAATTTTTTTTTAAATGTTTTATTGTCAGTTTGGTGTACTTTCTGTGAATATTCTTACGTTTTTGTCAAGCTCATGCCGTATCTGTCGTTCAAGTTTTAGATTTTGTCGAATAAGGGGAAACTTTGGAAGAATGTCGCGCAGTCTGGTTTGATAATGCTGATGACACCGATCGAACTTGATCCGTAGGAATGTTCGTCACGGCACACGCGAGTGCTTACACGCATCATTTTGTTCAGTTATGATTCATCCGATATACAGATTGTTTTTGCACCATTACCACCGATAAGATTAAATCTGCGATGCTTCTTAAGGGAGTATCGACTTCGAATCTTTTACGGCGCTGTTTCACGCATACCAAGAGGCAATCACGCCTGATCAGTCGATCCTTTCTTGCTTGTCGATTCACTTACGGTTTCCATCGAAGGATGATTAAAACCGGATCGAATTAAAACCGGTCAAGGTGACGTCCTTGCAACCTGGATGGTCTTCTAGTCGAGGAATTCAATTTTATGATCGCTCATCGATCATTCGACTCGATCGAAATAATTTACGCTCAATTTCTCGATAATTGAAATAATTACTTATCGTAAAATTATTCCTTTTCTGAAACATTTTTAGATCATAGAAATATTCTGGGATTAAAAAGGATAATCTTGGAATCATTATTAGGTATCACTGTTGATATTTATAAATGTAGAGTATGAACAAACCGAATTTATAGTTTTTATTTAGAAATATAATAAATATGTGTGTACTTTCTTTGAGTTTCCCCGATGTTTCGAGAATTTCTCCTAGATACCATCAATCTCCATCAAGATAAACGTTGTCGTTTTCGTATTGATAAAGTATCGATACGGTACCCCGAAAAAGAAAAGAGAAATGTACACGTTCGGAGATTATTTTCTAGACAACTTTATTACATATCAGAATACAGCCTACAGCTTGTAAATTAGATGCTTATCGATATACTCTTAAATATAAGTAACATCCGGCAGGCTTAAATAAGAGACATTGCCATCTAAAGTCCATTAAAAAATATGAAAAAACGATTGTAACCGGATAAAAAATAAAAATCTGAAGAGTCATAATGCACATTGCTTTGCTTCTTTTCTCATTTTTATTATCGATTACAAAAAGTCCCCAGTGTGTATGTGTGATTATGTTGTTTTCTTCTTTCATGTATATGTATATGGGTCGCGCGAGCGCGTGTAACGATATGTACTGTGTCCGCTTGTGTGCGTGTTCGAATGGATAATTCAGTTTCGTCGTTTTTCCAGTAGTCACGACGGAAAGATACCAGATATGTGTATATATAGTATATATATACGTGGATATCCTTTTATGTATTTCCTGCGTTTCCCCCATTCCCTTCCATGTATCGTCTAGATTCACAACATGTACATCGTGTTATGCCAAGAATGTCGAGGAAGAGCCCGTGGCAGTGAACAGAATGGGTATGTAAATGTAACCTACGATCTATATAATAGATTATGTGATTTGATACATTGCTTTTGCATGCATTGTTAATGATATTTGTTTTCTTCTCCTTCCCTCGCGATAATTCATTTTATAATTCTTTATATTCATCTTCGTTTTATCCGTCGTCGTATAGATTAACTAGCAAGCATTATAACAACCGACACTTTATACTCCACCCCCCTTTCCCACCCACCCCTCCCATTTTTGTTCGCGTACGATTAGTCTCAATGATATGACGTGTCAAATATGTAGTAAAGTTACTCTCAGGGGCCCGCCAAAGCCAAACCATAAGTTGTCATCTTAATATAATTTAGCTATACAACGATGTATATCAAAACTTATAAAATACCCAAAACCACTGTGGCGGCGCCCCTGACCCTGCATTTGCGCGATATACCGTCTCTCTGATATGCGTTTAGAGCCAGACTTCTTATTGGTCATTGATTATGATTAAAAGTTTTTCACGTTGGATCTCGTGCACGTCTCTACAGATCGGGTTATCCCTCCCTTCGTCGATGTCGTTCGAACGTGTTCAATGGTTTTGAAACGTGGTCAGTCGCAATCGTTACTTGAATGCCGGCGGCGGTGCCCTTTGTCCGTTCGTTTTCGACGAGTCGTCGCTGGTCATCACCGTCACCAGTTCGCCGACAGCTTTTCCTAAGTCTCCTAAAAGAAAGATTCACATGTTTCCGGTTTTGGGACGATTCAGTGGCCACTCATTTCTACACGATTGAAATGAATTTCTTACTATATCGTGTGCAATCAAATTCTTTTTATACAACTGACTGTAATATAAGTGATTCGTCTTTTCGAAAATCGTTTTTTTATTCTTGAAAAAATCAGTAATATCAAGAATTTGACTACATTATGTGCACACAGACGTGGTCATTCACACTTAGAAGTTTCCCACCGCATGCACGAATACACACGAGCGACGAAAAGAAAGCCTGGCGACTGAATATTCCATAGTCGTGTGATTAACTATAAATACTTTTATGAGATATGTCGCTTAAGCGTTCAATCGAATACAAAAGGCAGCGTGTCTACGCGGATAGAAGGCCCAGCGGGAAAAGAAGCGTTTGAGAGTCTCACCTTACATCCATCCTGTCGCGTGAAAAAATAGGAAAGAATTGTTATTGTTAAGCGGAAACGGGTCATGCATAGAACGTCTAGCATACAGGAGTCTGATTACAATTATATGAGAATTATTAAATTGCGGTATAGTACACCAAGAAGAGACGAACCTGCCATATGTAAGAGATTACCCACATTGTGGGCAACGCTGTGAGAATGCGGTGGCGGTGGCGGCCTCTCTAAACTGCTCACACGTCCATCGTTCGAGCCTCCACCACCTACGCCCATATACCCATCATACCGATAAGCTTACGCTAATTTCTTTGTTAATGTGCAGTTAGCAGATTGTACATAGATATATGTATATGTGAACGTGATTTAACTAAATATAGCCGCAACGTAAAATGATCTGCACCCTTTCTATGTGTGTAAAGAAAGCCTAGATGAATATTTAAGAGCGGCTTGAGCCGACCTGTTTGCTTTACGAATTCTATTTAAAAGTTGGAAATAAGTAATCGCTTGTTGGTAACGTACCCGGCGAATCGTGGTAGTGGCCGTTCATCTTTGCTGGAGAATCGGTCGCCAGCTGTGACGCTGTTACGCTTCGTGTTTGTAACGTGCCTGTTTTCGACGGCGAAGAGGCATTCGGCTGCGTAAACAGTGAATTTATCATGTGTTAAAACGTAACACGTGGAAACCCTGGACAGTACAGTAAATCATCGACGAGTGTTCGAAGGCTCCCGGGCACTGACAAGGGAAGGGAGCCCAACTGTACCACTTCGATTTTATCGATCTTTTATAGGATGATGGAATACATATTTCTAATGGTATGTGTGAAATATTAGCCGTAGTTATTTGATAGTTTTACAAGTCACGCAACAAGTCTATATATAACTACGTATGTAACTTTAATTAATTATACCTTCAAAACTATCGGGTACCTACAACTAATATTTTACACATATTATTAGAAATAAGTATTCATCTTACAAAGGATCGATAAAATCGAAGTAGTAAAGTTGTGATCCTTCCCTTCTGAGTGTCCAGACGTCATCCCCACCACTGGGGGTCCTCCGTGGAATTAGTCATCGATGATTTACTATAAAGAAAATACACTTACCTCGTCCAAAAGCTGTCTCAGTCTTTGCAACTGTGCTTCCAGTTGCCTGTTATGATCCTCCAGTATCTGCATCCGTGCCTCCAATCTGCCCTTGTGCTGTCTCAACAATTTCGCCTCAGCGATCATGTCGCAGTCCGGTTGTCTATTGCCTTGTCCGTCCTCGGGCGTGGAGCCCGGTGTCTGTTTCGATCGTAACCGTCCGTACTCCGCCTGCAGGGTCGCGTTTTCCTCCTCCAGCTCGCGGATCATTGCCTCCAGTTCCTCCCTCTGCTCGGCGTCGATCGCGGCCATCACTTGAACGGGGCTCCTCGGCATGTTCACGTTGTCACCGCCGTTCAGGCTTTGGCAATAGTGGGCGATCAGCTGATGCTCGTCGTCGCTGTCCGGGGTCGAGTTGCTTCTGGTGCGGGACAGCTCGACCTCAGCCAGCCGGGTCGCGTACATCTCTAATCGGGAATGCATGTCTTGACTGAGGGAACTGTGTTGCGGCGACGGCGCCGGGCTCTCCAGTGCATCACCCTCGAGCACGGTCTGCACTGGCAGATAACCGACCCGCGGGTGCTTCTTGAAGTATCTCTTCGACTTGAATTTGTTACGGAGTGCCCTTGTGAAGTCGCGAACGTCCTCGCCAGATGTGGTCTGCGGGAAATAAATAAACGGATATTATTGCGCCGAGTCAGGCACAGAGATGCCTTATGCTAGTGTAGAATAAACGGCGCGGGAGCTGTGTATTATAAGCTTTAGAGTTTAGGGTATAGAGGGTGACACACCTAAAACAGACCACCAGAATATCTCGACTGTTGTTGGTGATAGAAAAAAATGTGTCAGACCAAACTTGCATGGTATCGAGGACCACATCAGCCAAGTAGCAGACAAGATATTCAGGTGACCTGTTTTAGGTCCTTCAACTTGTACAGTTTCTTTGCTATATTTTGGTTGGTACACGTAGTTACGTTTTGTTATTTTTTTTATTTCAATTGTATAAAGACTGTATTGGGAAGTCCTAGATACTTTCGGTTATCAAACGATATGAATACTATAATATCAAGCCTACTGCTAAACAGTCTGTCGACGATAGATAGCTTTCCAGTAGCTAAAAATACAATAGTTAGCCTGTACCTAACAAAGATAAAAAATGTGAACAGGCCACTTGAGTGGATTCCAGGAAAGTTACTGCACTCATTACTCCCGCAGTAAGGCAATCTACACAGCACTGATATAGCGTATGTGTACTCACCGCAGTGCAGTATTCCTGCATCGGATGCGTCAGTTTATGGTTCTTCGCCTTGCGGCCCGAGAAGAAACAGTTCTGGCACATGTCGAAGTTGAAGCATTTCAAGCAACGGTATCTGTAATTTTTCGATATTAATATTTGTAAAGAGTACACCCTAAATTTCGAGTGTATTATTGATTTGGAAGACTCGGACTTACCTGAACCCAGTGATGGGATACTCTTTGCATATGTTACATTTCGCTTGATGCTTAGCGCTCTCCGCCGCGGAGAGTCGATGAAGCACAGGCAACCAGACCATACTCTGCGGCTCCTGTTGCAGCCAGCTCAAAAAGTGCACCGCCTCGATTTCATTTTTGTCCTTTCCAGCCTTCTCGAAGCAGCTGCGGACGCTCGGCTCGATGTTCGATCCACCGAACGCGGCCACTTCTCCTAACTGCCTCGGCACTTGGATGCAGTCGTGCAACAGTAAACCCAGTTTCCGTTGATCCACCAGTCTGTTCGGATCAGCGATCAGCCGGAACAGATCTGGAACAATCGAAATTTCGTTACACACGGTCCTCCGCGTCGTCTATCCCCAAGGGGGACATAAGAATATATCGACGGGAACTTACATCTATATTTCTCTTCCAGGTGGCCCTTGCACAACAGTACCAAGCCAACCTTGAAGGAGAGCACGCGAATCTGACCGGTCCGTTGACTGGAAAATGGAAATCGTTTGGTTAAACACGAAGAGATACGGAGAGAATCGGTTGCCAGAGGGATTACCGCGAACGCTGTTTGAATTATCTGACGGGCAATGAAGGCCGATTACGCTCACCTATCGTACACGTTGAGGAGCCAGTTGATGGCCAAATCGATGCACAACGGCACAGACACCTGCGTAGGATTGTCAGCCGTTATCACTTCGTACAGGGACGTCAGGACTGTCACCATGTCCGGAATGTCGATTAGCTTGTCGTTTTGCGCTCGTAGCCCGTGCGAATCGAACTGTTCCAATGCGGTGGAGAGGCTCAGCAGATCCACTGGAAAGTATAGTTGATTGATAGGTGACAGGGATTAGGAAATCTGTACGTTCTTTTATTGACAGTTGTAAATATTATACGGTACACGTTCGAAACAAAATCCGGAATATCCAAGTATGTAATACGGCTCGATATCAGAATAAAACACGGTAAATTGGAAATTCCAGACAGAAATTGAAGTACATTTGCTACGTTCCTTTTTTGTAACCGATCATTTCAATCCGACTGTTTGATTAACGGGCAATGAATAATAGTAATTCTTGCAATGCAATGAAACGTTTCTGTCAGAATTTACGCAATCCAATGATTAGACAGTACTGATTTCGAAAGCAAGAGAGAAACACGTTACAGATCCAGATCTATCGACAGCGATACAATGCGTTGTTGCAACCAGCCGTGTGGTTGATTGAGAAAATTACGATTAATAAACGCAGAGCAGATTAATCTACTACAAGATAGGGTAATAGAAGCTAGAAAACGAGCGAAGTACTCACGGCACAATCGTTTCTGAACGGTGCGCAGCTTCATCGCAGTCCTGTACGCGGAGAATCGTACTTCGTTCAGGTCCGCCAGAGAGGACATCAGGTCTATCATTTTTGGATGATCCCAATGGGTGGTCTCCGACTGATGGCTGCAAAACGTGCATGGGATTAGGAAACCAGTCGCGCAGCGGGAAGCGACGGATTAAGAAATTAATGAAATTTGGCAGCGGGGGAACGTGGATTCAGCGGATAGAAGTTGGCGGAAGTCCGCCTCGCCGGAAACTTTGTTTAATCTTTATCAAATCCGAGCGATTCTTGGCTCAGGCCACATTTTGAATGTTTATCCACGGTTCGACGAATTCGAGGATTTGAAATCCCTTCAACCGGCAGGGTGTGGTCATACTTATTCGTCCACCTAACCTTGAGTACCATTATCAAAACCTCATTTATAAAGATATAGAATTTGTGTGAACGATATGAATCAAATAAAATACGTTTAGTTGGAATTTGTGAAGTTTCGTAAGGTTAACCATTTAGTAGGCACATTGATGTGAATTCGTTACAGCAAAAATTTCAAGTGTCGAGTATTGTCAGTATCCTACATTCTTCAACCCTTTTAGTACTTTACAGTCGATATATCGGCATTGTGGGAAAAGTGCCTTGAGCCGAAAAAGATATTGGTTACATCCGATAAACGTTCTCTTCGTCGCTCGACATCTTTGCGAATGAGGAAAATGAAGCTTTCTATACGCTTTCTAAAATAATCGTCTTTCTAAAGTAATCGTCATGTGTACGCTACACTGACGTGTCTATGACGAGACGCCTTAGTGGACAGTAGGCCTAAGAAACTAACGCGTCGATATGTAGCCGAATAAAATGTTCACGATTATGTTTCCCAAGATTCCTCATAAAAAAAAAATAAATTTCCTTATATTCCACCCTGCCAATCGGGGAACGAAACAGTTTCCTTTCCGATTTGTCCCCAGTTTCGTATCCCGAAATGCTATCGTTCGATCGAATATTCTCTCGCAAACGTTAAATCCCGGCTACTCCCGGAGCTACCGCAAACTTCCCGTTGCCTCAGATCACAACTGTCTCATCAATTATTCGTTTGCTTGCGCGAAGATCGGGCCCGGGAACCGGAATTCGGTCGTCAGTTTAAGGTGACTGGGTGGATGGTTGCTGCGGGTGCAAGGAAGATCGATTACTTGATATAGTAAGGCACTTTGGCGGGTGTGAGGGCTCTCTCCCATGGTGGTTCCACGCTGCTCGCGAGGAAAGCCTGGCTACCCGGAGTGCTGCCATCCTTTCCAAATCCGCTTAGCAACTTGTAACGCTCGTCAACCGCCACTTGCAGCACCTTCCACCTGCGAAAACACGTGAAAAAGTTACCGTCTCGCGATTTTCCGTCCGAACGCCGCCGCCGCGGGAAACCGAGAAATAAGCGCTCTTCCATTAAGCGAAATAATCTTTGATAATACTATATGTGCTATTTAACAGGTTTTTTTTTGTTTAAATCTTTATTTACAGATGATCCATCCCAGAGAAGAATTTGAATTTTTTATTTCATCATCTTGCGTTTGGGTTGCTTTAATTGACAGTAAATGGCACTGTATTTCCGTAAGGGTAACGGAGAATAATGTTGAGTTGGTTATTAAAAGTGTTCCGAAATAGTCGTCGTCGGATTATTTATCTCTGAGACAATTAGTGTGTAGTTAAGGGTTAACGTTATTATCTTGTAATTATAAACTACAGTGGATAGCAAGGTTCTAGATTGCGTGGAGGCAAATCCCATTTATATGTAAAATAGTTCAATTACTATTGTTTCTTTAAACTTCCCTCGTAACTTCAAGTAGCATGCAATTGGAAACGTGACACAGTAATCGATAAGTCGTTCTCGGTGTCTTGTTTAAAAAAGAAATCGTGTTTCGTAGCACGAGAATAATTTGCATTCCGACGAAATATAATAAACAACTTTAATGAAATCCGTGCTACCAGGAACATTCAATATCTATTTCATTCACGTTGCTGCATACGAATATCCGTGAGTCGACCGTGCGACGTTTGGTTTTTGTAAGCTAAAAAGGCGGGTAACCGGAGGAATTCATTGGAAACTCGGATGCCCCGACGTACCTGGTGTTCAGATCTTCGAGTTTCGCCAGCAAAGCATGAGAAACGATGACGCTGCTCGAGCCGAAGACGCTCGCCTGGTCGTTCGCGTCCTCGATGTTCCTCTGAATGGGCACCAGCCGTTCGCCGAATTTCTGCAATTGCTCCAGCAATTCCGTCGCCTCGTTCGCGTCGCTCGGATTTTGCCAGCCGCTTTGGATCGCCTCGGCCGCGGCCATCCGTGAGGACAGATCCTCGAGTAACTTTTGGAAGACACATATTTTCTGCAAGCAAAACGATTAAACGGTCAGATCCCTCAGTTTATCTCAACCATTAAATTAGTCTCGCTTAAAATTCACAGATCCAGAAGCACAGAGGTACGGTCTATCACTTTTTAGACAAGAATCAGGATATAAGAGAAGGCACTTTAAAAAAAAGTATTCTATGTATCTTCCTCTGATTATGTTGAAGATATTATTAATCCTCGACATATTCTTTAACAAATAAATTTGTAAATTAATCTGACACCAGTAATTCACATAATAAGGATCAAATGACATCTAAGCATATCTCCGTGATTCGATTTCAGCTTAGGCCAAGTTTAATTGAAAGAATAGCAATGTAACAATTTCCGAACGGTGCATGAGGGATAATTCGATTTCACCGCAATGTTAAACAGCCCGAGGCGTAATATGCGCGGTAACTTTACCTACGGCGTGGAAAAATTTTCCGTTAAAGTGTTTACATTTTGTAAATTACGCGCGGAAACTATGAGAATTAATTTACGAAAGATAAAGAATGCGTAACTACCAGGGTTTGTTCCAGCAAAAAAAAAGAAGAAACAACAACAATAAAGGAAGAGC